AGTATTTTTTGCTAAATATTACATGAGTGACAGTATACCAAATAATTTTTTTTAACTAGTGCTTGGAAGGTTTTGCATCATCTTTGCCATATTTGATATAGGTATTAGATTGTTTTAAGTTGAATTTTTGTTATATAGTTTTTTCTTTCTATTTTATCTGAAATAGCTGTCTTGAGACTATATATAAGTCCTTTGAAAAAAAACCCTCTGATGTTTACTATCAAGTATTTCTTATATTCTAGATTGTTTTTGTTTGAGAATTGGGTGGTGAAGAGTTTAAATTTTTTTTCTCTATGTAATTTTCTATGCAGGTTATGGTTATATCCTTTAGGGTCTTTTCTATTTCTACTCTGAGTTGTTGACAAAGAAAAGGGTATATACTAGTTTCTGGTTTTTCACATCTGTTGCATTTGTTATTTTTGTAGACAGATAAAAGTCTTGCATATAGCTTGCTCTTGGTTGATTGTTCATCATTCCAAAGGTTGAGACAGAACTTTCTTTGTTTCTGATCTTCCCTATTTGTGTGATAGTTGTCCATCTTCATGGGTTGTAAGTATGCTGTTGTTTGCTAGTTGATTTCTTTAATTATTCATTTGCTGAAGTTGTATTTAGTTCTATTCAAGAGGTGCTATTTTACTAGATAAATAGTGTTTGTGAGCTTTTGTATAATTATTTTAGCAGGAAATTCAGTAAAGTGGTTGTTCTATTGTAGTGCTATGCCTATCTCTGGATTATTGATTCTAGTAATTTTAACTTTATTCTCTCCTGACTTCCTGCCTTTCCATGCATTTATATGTGTCAGCTGGTCCGCTATTTCATTATATTTGATTCCAGAGTGGCCTTTAACCTTGTATAGCATTAGTTTGATCTTTCTTCACTTGCATAGGGTTTTGATCTAGAGTAAAAGATTCAAATTTTTTTGTTTTTTCATAATCTCTTTTTTATCTTCCTTCAGGATCTTTTCTATTCTATTTATTGCTACTTAATTATCTGTGCAGACATTCATTATGCTATAATCAGGTAATATACTTAGAACAATTATCAATGGCTGCTATCTCTGCTCTGGTGAATGAGGAATGTCATTTGATTTGTTTTTGGAAGGTGTGTTCCTCTAAGTCTGAGGTGATGATAACCTAGTCAAGGTCTATATAGTATTTGTCCTTCAAGTTTGTGAGAGATTTATCTATGTAAATGTCAATAATGGCAAAATTCTTAATTTTTTCTCTGATTTTCTCTATCCTTTCTATATTTGCCTATAAGCAGTTGAAAACTTTGTCTTTTTTTCTATTTCTTGTTTATGTTTTGGCTGGTATGCTAACTATTATGTTTTTGTTTTGTGTGAGTGGTCCCGATATCTGTGTATATTCAGCAAGGGTTATGGTAAGAGAATTTGAAAATATTCTGTTTATTTACTTATACTCCTTCATATCTGTGTTGTTTTCTTTTATAGATATTAGGCTTTTCTGAACAAATATGGTAATTAAATATTGTTGAGTTGCTGTAAAGCTGTATTTCCCTCTGTTGGTGTCTAGGATATTTAGTGTGCAGCCTTGGCATGCTTTTAGTAAGAAATTCTCTAGAGCTTGAATGTAATATTTATATCTTGTTGTATTTTGATCTATTCTTTTTTGTTTTTTTTCAATTATTGATTCTCTCTCTTTCTGTGTGTAGATCTAATAAGATTTGGTTGTATTATAGAATGTTGTGTGAATTCCTTGTTTGAAAGAATTGATTTTTATTTGTCATATTGGGATTTTTTTTGTTTCTAAAATTTTTTTGATTTTGTTGCTCAAGGTTAGAAACCATTTGAGGGTTGGACCTGGAAATGTTTTTCTTTCAATTTTTATGATTTGACATCATTTTAATGTTTTCGTACTGTTTGCATTTAACAGTTGTCCAATAAAGAGTATGTTATGTTTATAGAGGTGATGTCAGTATTTTGAATAAAAGTGTTTGCTCATGATCTCTTCTATGGAAGTGTCTATTTCCTGAATGAGCATAATACTGTTGTTTTCGTTGCTGAGATCAAATGTGAAACCATATCTTCTCATAAGTCAGATAGTATCATATATTAAGCTTTTCCCTAAGTGTTTCCATGATTGTTCCATTTTGTTTAGAACGAGTTTAGTGAATCAGAATTCATTTTATAAAGTTTGGAGTCTGTTTTTCGCTATTTCACCAGCTATATTGTTTTTATTAATTCAGTTTGTCCAGTTAGTGCTATATAGAAAGAGTTATCTGTCTCAGAAGTATATTAGATTATATTCATATCTATTGAAAAGAATGTTGTTTGGGGTTATCTTGGCAAGGCCTAGCTTATGTTTAAAGATTGCTATGACACTACTCATAAGGAGGTTGCATGTTTTTTCTGGAAGTATCATGTCATTGTATAGATACTTTGCACTGAAAATTAGGACATAATTAATTATGTACTGCATCTGTTTATTAGTTAGGTGCTTTATTCCTATAAGTTCCTTGGTCTTTTTGAACTTTTGTTGAATTAGAGTTTTTTGATAGTCTTTTTTTCCTGAACTGTCATACCAGACTCCCAGGATTTTTACGAATACTCCTTGTGGATAACCTTTGATGATTTGTTCTTCTATTTCTATACCTTGTATGAAATTGTCATCTTTCTCATTGATGATTAACAGCTACTTCTACCATCAAAAACCTCTATATATCTCTTGTTTCAAAAGTGAAAAAGACTTTTATATACTTCACTATTGATTCTTTTTCCTTTGAGAACTTTCTTGCCATTGGTATCAAAAATGTTACTTGACTTGTTCTTGATTATCAGAAGTCAAGTTTTTGATCAAAGAGGATTGTAAACAAGTAAAGGAGAGGTAGAGACAACTCTTGAAGTCACTCTTTAAGATATTTTAAAGAAAGTATTAAAGATTTTTTTAGCAAAAAACAAAAAACTTTCTGCAAACATCTTTTTTGTGTATGGTTAGAAAATTAATGAAAAGAGAATATACTGTATTTATAAATTTGTTAATTTAATTGAGTTACATTATAATTAACTATTTTTTTTTAAGTACTATAGTAATAAAGTATATATTTTTTTAAACTTATCAGTAATAATTTAATAAATTTATCTTGAATTATTTATAATAATTTTAATAAATTCATAAAAAAAAATTTTTTTTTGATAAATAAAGATTTTTTAAAAATTTGTTTTTTATTAAGTTGAAATAAAAAGGAAATAGAAATGAAGATGAAAATAAAAATAAAAATAAAAATAATATAAAAAATCAAAAAAAAAAATTAAGGAAAAAAAATAATAAATAAACATCTTATTTATTTTGCAATTTAAAAAATACAGTATAAATATCATGATATAAATAATAATAATTATACAATGAGATCAAATTTTTTCTTCCTTTTTTCTTAGCTAAATATAGTTTATAATAATAAGTCCATATAATTAGAATAATGTAGGGATTCCTGATCATGTGTCTTTGGTCATATGTCATAATAACCAGTTGCTCGAGAGTTATTATTGACAATCAACTCGTTGATCTTTATTATATTCTTTCACATTGTTCGTTATTCTATTTAAAATATAATTATTAATTATTCAAAAAATTATTATGTTATTTATTATTAAAAAATACTTTTACATATTTTCTTATATTTGGGTAATTATTTTCGAAGGCGGACTATAATTGTAATCCTAAAATTTGCATTATATACGTATTATTCAAAACTGGGGGCCGAAAAATCATATTTAGTACTCTGGTCGCCTTCAAGAATAATTGCCCATTTGTATAATAAATATTTTTAAGAATAAAGTTAATTTACCATTATTTTCTGAATCAACCGTATAATGCCGTAGTACGCTGCATAAGGTATCCCCTTGAATAGTACCGCCAGGTTTTAAGTGTTTTAAGTGGTTTTCCTTTTTTCTACTAATTAACTTTAAGCCCAGATTAATTAATACGTGGGGTATTGTATGCAATGCTTTACGGTATACAGTATAATCTGGTTAATAGAAAGTATTATATATACAATAGTAACAATACAAGAAAATATAACAGAAGAAAAAATTAACATAATAATAATAAATAACAATTGTTTAAAGGTTACAATTGTATTTTAGTAAGCATTTTCTAATTAAAAAATTAAAAAATTTAAACAAACGATATCATTCATCACGAAAATGTCGGCAATTATACTGTAAATCCTGTAAATCCATGATTTCACTATTCAAAACTTGAATCTAAAATAAATCCATGTTTAAAACTCTGAAGTTGGTAAAGCTTATTCAACTCCAACTCGAATTCTTATGGGCGAAGGAAATCGCAAATATAAGAAGCCACGATTAACTCCAATGTCACTTGTTCGAACCTATATTTAGTAATAAACTTCCCAAAAATCGAATGTATGTACAGATCTTAGATTGTGGCTTATAAATTACGATCGTGGCTCGGCACATACGATCGTAATTTATAAGTCACGATCGTAATTAATAAGCCACAGATCAACATGGCTTAATTCATAATGATATGAATTATCTCTATTATCAATAACGAACGTAATTATAAGCCTAAGAAATCAACTCATAAGTTTCTTGGAAAATTTCTTAATAATAAGGATTTAAGAATAATTAAAGGTAGATCGCGCGATTTCATTTATGGGGCTTAATAATTGAAAAAAAAATAAACTCGGACCTATTTTATTTTTGGAGGAGGCTTAAAAATAGCCACGATGGGTAGTAAGCAACTCCGATTTATTTCGATGAAATTCAACACAGCCTGACATATTCGCGAAAGAATATAAAAACCCAACCTCTGCACCCTTTCAAATTTCATTCTCAAATCGAAACAAAAAAACCATTAATAACTATTACAAATAAACAAACATGTACGCAAAAAAATCAACTTTATTCTCTTTCCTCTCTGCAGCCCTGCTTATCCTTTCTCTGTGCTCCACCTTCGTTTCTCCGAGCCCACTTGAACGCGGTTACTTGAACGAAGTATGCTACGCGACATTCGATAATGAAGGCAGCAACTCGAAGTGTTCTGGTGAATTTACCTTTACCCAGATTACCGATACTAAGTGCCGTGTTACTGGACAGTTTAATACCGGATTCACGGATACTGTGTTGAGCAATTATGAATTCCTCATTCATGACAGTAAAGACTCTCCTTTCAAGGATTTATCGAAAGACATCAGGAACCAAGTTAAAATCAATGTACCTGGTACTTCGGCATTCCAATGCGATATCGAGGGGGTGGATGTAGATACAATTGTGGGATGTTATTTCGTGGTTAAGAAAAATTCTGAAGAAATCGGTAAAGCCGTTATCAACAAAGTTTAGTTCGAAATTAGTGGATAATCTTAATTTAATATTTGCATTGATAATTCTTTGCGAAAATTTTATTTCCTAAATTTTATTATTTTCCACTCTCATTTACAATGTAAATCTAGTTTTCTAGATCTTCAGCATTTTTATGTAATTTAATGCGCGTTTATAAATTTTAATAAATTTATAATTATTGGTAAATAAGTGCAAGTGAATATCTGAGTTTAATAAATTTATTTCCGCGGAATTAACCAAGAATTTGAACTTATGTTCTTGTTATTGAGAGTAACGACGCAGCGCGACCTTCATATCGCGACAAATGTTGTACAAGCAACGTCAAAAAATCGCGATCAGACCCTTGCGAGATGAGCAATAGAGTTTTTAAATAAAGTATGAGAATTATGTAGAAATGAAGTCAATATAAAGGTGTAAAAAGGGAATATAAGCAAACTAAAGATGTCAATTATGTAGCAACTGAGACACGTATATGGGTAATTCTTTTTAAAGGCGAAAAAAACGCTAGTACAATTTTTGAGGGTGAGATGTTAGGACCCATGATACCAAATTACATGCATATAACGAACTGCAATTATAGCAATAAAAATTTGTAAATTTGGCGGAACTTAATAATTTATCACGTGAGCGACCATCAAATCTTCATTATATAATTACTAGAAATTTGAATATTTTATTTTCATTGCATCATGCCTTCTTTAAACTTAAGAAAAAATTCCTCTCTTACTTTGTTCACATTCTTATTCTTTACTCTTAAATTATTGTTTTTTTTTTCAAAAAAGTCAAGATACTTTAATTTTATATAATATAATAATAATTATTTTTTTTAAACATATAATCAAATTAGTATGGCATGTTTTTATTGTATATATGCTAGATATTTACAAATTGTTGCAACTTTCACATGCTAACTCACTATTATTGAAAAATCATTTCTCTAAATGCTACCTAGAGAATGATATTTTACTTCTTTACTAATTTGGATAACTCTTCCAATTAATAAAATCATTGCTTATAAGTCATTACTATAGATCATTTTAAATTCTATCTATAATTAAAAACCAAATCATTTAATTTCATGAAAATCATTATATACATCTTTTTTTCTTTTTCTTTAATGCCTTTCAGGTTCAGATTTTTCAGAAGTAACAATAATATTTTTTGATTTTATCTGGTTTATCTTCTTTTATATATCTATATATAGTATTAAAAAAGTCTCTGTTAGATTTCTAAATCAATTACAATTATTTGTCTGTCTAGTTACTTATTATAGATCAGATTTCTTTCTTATATTTTACTTTTTTACTTATGTATTTATGAATCTTTTCATTTGCTTTCTACTATATGTATTCCCTAGTTTCTCTAGTGATTAGACATTCAAAAAGATATTCTAATATCTTTTCCTGAAGTTTGCATACTGGACAAGTAGTTATAGTGTATTCATCTGGTTAAGTATCTGTAGGATTAAATGTTAATTATGGATTAAATTAGTTAGGAAGCTTTTATCTTTATTGATTTTGAAAAAGATATCAAAAATATTGATCAAATTGAACTAATTTCAAAAGATTAGTCAATCTATGACTTTATCATTTTGAATTCAAAGATTTTGAATCTTTTTTTATATTATCTAATCTAGTTTAATCTTTTTCTTATTAAGCATTTTGATAAAATTTCTGATACTAATCTCTATTATATATTCTTTCTATGTGACTATTGTAAAAACTTTTTCTAACTCTAGCAACTAATACCAAGTTATTGAATTCTTCTACTTAACCTGTTTAGCAAGTAAGTCTATATTATTATTAAATCTGTTGGTTCTATAGGCTTTGATCAAGATTTTCAAATTCAGATTTTTTTTCTTTATCAGGTTTTTAATTTTATTTTACAATAACTAATTGATAATCTTTATCTATCTTCTTGTTAATATTTCTATTTGTGAACAGATATATTTTTATCAATATAGATTATAACAGTTATATTTCAGAAGGTTATGTATAGTGTAATAAAAATAGCTAATATTTTGATCTTAATTGCAAGTAGTTAAGTGAATGCTCCTACTAAAAACTGTTTAATCACTTTATCTTTCTCTATTAGGATCCAAGTTAAACTCATCTTGAATTCACAGTTTATTATCCTTTTTTATAGAATCTATTGGTGTAGAATATAAGCTAATTAACCATATTTCTTCTTCTTAGAACATCTATAGATTTGTTTCTATATTTTTTTGTTATATAACTTGTTCTATTAGCATGATGTTCTAATCTTTTATCTGGATCTCTACTTATATAGTCTGATAGTTGGTAGAGTTACTATTTGTTGATATATGTTTATCTGCCAATTTGTAGAATTTTCTAGTAGAAGGATTTGTTTTCTTTTCTCAAATTATTATATCTGTTTAATTATAGGAAAAGGTGAATTTGTAATGAAACTACTTTTACTAACTACACTGTTCTATTTGATTAAGGATAAGTATGATTACTAATAGGATTATATATTAGCCAATATAGGATAAATAGAATTTGTTGTTTAAAAATATTGTTTTTTCTAATATATCCATTGAAGTATTAATGTAGACTACTCACTTTCTATTTAAATTTATTAAGAATATTTTAATTTGTATATTGAACCTATCTATTTGAGTTTGTATAAAAGGAGTTTTATAGAAAATCTTAATTTACTATTATCTTTTTATGAACTTTTTTGTATTAGGAGAAAACCAGTTTCTTGCATTTGTTAAAGAGAATTTGAATTGCACTCTATTCTTTAAGTATTATTCTAATAGTATTGATAAGTTGATCTAGAAATATAATCTTATACTTTTATAGTAATGGAATAGTTTTTTTGTATTCTCTATTATCTTGTAGTATTGATTTAATAAGCAAAATATCTTCCTAATAATTAACTGTTTTTTTCTATTTTCAACTTTGAAAGGTAATTTGTATACTTTTTACTAGGGCCAATGTTTTAATTGCCAGATTTTCTTTAATTAGTTTTTGAGAGTTAATAGAATTGTTTAGAATATTATTAGATCTCAACATTTGATTTGACTCTGTTTCAATCTAATTATGATAATAATATTGGAAATCTCATTATTATTGAGTTTACAAAAAAGCATAAGTATGTGACTTTAATTGTATTTTTCAGATACTTTTGAGACAATATATTTCTTTGTTATAGATACAACTGTTCGAGATTGTCTCATAGACTAAGGGCTTATTCTTGAATACTTCTCTAAATATGATAGTAAGGTTATTACATTTCTTCTTATTTGAGTATATGTATTATATTCTATATTCTATTCTTAAAATCAAAATCCTGTTAATAATATATCAGATATGTTTTACTGTCAACTTTCTCTTTGTTATTATCTGGATCCCTGTCCTAATTTCTGATTTTATTAAACTGATAATGTCTTAGTTCTTCTGTTTTGGTTCTAGCCAGATACTAAGAAATCTGATCTAATCCTTCTTATTAATTTTATGAACTATAGTACTCTTTGTTTTAACTTGAACAGTTCCAGGAACTTAAGGATTCTGGTTAATAGTAAAAAAAATTGACTTTTTTATATTAATCTGAGAGTTGTTTACTATATAAAACTTTTTTGTTTCTTCCAAGATTCTTTTCAGATCTTCTTTGGATTTGACAATCCAGGTTATATTATATATATAAACAATTACTGCTTGCTTTAATAAGTGTTTAATTTTCTTCTTAGATTTATTAAAATTGTATAACTAATTTTTTTTTATAAAATAATCTAAGTTACTATTGTTTTAAATTATGTATAGTAGTGAATAATAGAAAATTCTTTATAATAATAGAAAGATTGTTTCTCTTTAATCTATACCATTCCTTGCTACCATTGAATTAGAGAGTTTATTAAAAAGAATAATACTACAACTTCTGTCTTTAAAAGGTTTATAATATTATAAGCTTCTTAATGGGCATAGAAATTTAAATTAATCTATAGCCTTTTCAAGTATATAAAGAGATATTGTATTGTATACCTTGACAGTATCTTGAAAGAAAAAAATAGGGTTTTTTCTTTTTTTTTTTTATTTCTTTACAGATATTATTTAGCAGATAAATAGGCTCTACCATACTTTCTCCTTGTAGACTAGCAAAGTTTAAACCTTTAGGATTTTATATTGTTTACAGATAATGGATAGTCAGTTGATAAGAATCTTAATAAAGCTTTTTCGAGCTGTTTCTAGAAAAATAATAGGTCTTATGTTACTCAAATCATATTTCCAGGGCTTGAATTTAGAAATGAAATAAATGTTACTGCTTTTTCATTTTTTAGATATCTAGCTTGTATTTAGAACTTTATTGAAAAAAAGTATTAAGTTTTTTTTTCTCTAACTCTTAAGTGTTTGAGCATTTTATAGTTGATATATGAAAGACTAGCAATCTTGTTGTTTAGAAGAAATTATAAAGTAGCTTCAAGCTCTTCTACTTTGATTTCTTCTATTAATAGTGAGTACCATATTAAATCAATTCATTCCTTAGATTGGTATTCTTTTTTCTAGGAGAGATCCAGACTTTTAAAGTTGGCATCTCTTTGTTTAAAAACTTTTTTATAATACTTTTTGACCTTGCTTCTAATAATTTAGAGATTAGTAATAATATATTTTCTCTCTTTTTAGTTTTTGGTTAATATCCAATTTAATATAATTCTAGGTTTTTTATGGTTCAAGACTGAGCTTAGCATTTGTTTCTAATTGGATTTAAGGTCATCATATCTGTTTTTAGAGCTTCTTTAATTTGATTTTTAATATAAAAACTTTTTTTTTCTTGTATATCATTCTAAGAATATATTCTGTATTAATAATCTTTTTTAATTGCTTTGGAATTTTTTCTTATAATTGGAAAAATACTAATTTTTCATTGAGAAATTCACAAATACCTTATAGGTTTTGGATAGATTTTTCTATTTTTTCTATATTTTTTATAGTTCTTAAGTCTCAGTTAATTTGG